CCTACATTCGAATGGAAAGAAATGCTAAATGTTGGTTAGAGGTTAGGGAAAATCCGGATGTATTCTTTCCCCAGCTGTGTGCACCAGCTCACTAAATCTTGTCCATGAACTCCAGGTTAAAGTCCCCTACTACTTAAAGGATGGTCCAGGCCGGGCGCGGTGGCTCACACCTGTAATCTCAGCACTGTGGGAGGCTGAGGCGGGTGGATCATTTGAGGTCAGGAGTTCAAGACCAGCCTGGCCAACATGGTGAAACCCCATCTCTGCTAAAAATACAAAACTTAGCCAGGCATGGTGGCACATGCCTGTAATCCCAGCTGCTCAGGAGGCTGAGGCAGGAGAATCCCTTGAACCCGGGAGGCAGAGGTTGCAGTGAGCCGAGATCGCGCCATTGCACTCCAGCCTGGGCGACAGAGCAAGACTCTATCTCAAAAAAAAAAAAAAAAAAAAGGATGATCTGGACCAACAGCCTGGGGTGGCTAATGCTTCTCAAATCCTCTGGGATAAATGCAGGTTCTGATTCAGTGAATGTACCCTGAGAGTCTGCATTGCTAAGAGGCCCCAAGTTAGCAATGCTGTTTCTGGTGCAGGCACCACAAATGGCAGACAGAAGCCTCAGGGCTTATCCTGGTGACGACTTTAACCTGGAGTGGTCAGAGCTGGAATTCACACGGCACACGGATGGTTTCCTGATCCTTGAAGTCTCTAGCAATGGCTTGGAGTTCTCCAGCTTCATCCTCAAGGGGCATGCGTTCCTTTTCCATAAGTATGTGATGACAGAGACGAACATGGGTGGAGATTCTGAGCAGCTAGGTGCCCTGTTTCCTGAAGGCTCCCACGGAGCAGCAGCAGCTGCTGGTCAGGTAAGCCGCAGACCCGTGGCAAGTCCCAATACACAAAATGCATGCACAACTACACACGACCATTCACAGAAAATAGAGACGACTCACAAGTGCAAGTCACCAAGCCCTAAAAGTGCAAGGAAAAAAGCAACTAAAGATTTTTTTTTTTTTTTTTTTTTTTTGAGATGGAGTGTCGCTCTGTCACCCAGGCTGGAGTGCGGTGGCACAATCTCAGCTCACTGCAACCTCTGCCTCCCAGGTTGAAGCCATTCTCCTGCCTCAGCCTCCGGAGTAGCTGGGATTACAGGCATGCACCACCACGCCCAGCAAATTTTTGTATTTTTAGTAGAGATGGGGTTTCACCATATTGGCCAGGTTGGTCTTGAACTCCTGACCTCAGGTGTCTGCCTGCCTTGGCTTCCCAAAGTGCTGGGATTACAGGCATGAGCCACCGTGCCTGGCCTAAAGACTTTGAAATTAATAACAAATGTACCTTCCCTATTTTCCTGAGTGCACAAAAACATGTATTTAAAACTCTTCTCTAAACTAGGTCCTATTATTTAATCAACCTCAGCTGTGAAAAAACTCCAACGCTTGAGATATACTTAATATAAAAAGTATTAAAACAGCAGGAAATAGTCCAAGTTAACAAATGGTGTAACTGTCATTTGTAGTACTATGGCAAGAAGTGTGCAGAATATCAAGGTAATTAAACTAATTTTTGTGTCCCATCCACTAGTGGTTTTTACAATGTTTTTACCAGGAAAAATTAAATCTGGAGACCTGGGTCACTGGGCCTACATTTTTTCTTCAGCCTTGATGGGGTTTGCAGAGCCTTTCCATACCACTTCTCCACCTCCAGCACCCCCAACAGCCTGACTGGAGCTTCCTTCAACCTCCCTCCTTCCTTAAACCCAAGTTCTTTAGTTGTATAGCAAACATTTCAACTTTCAACCCAGTTACTAGGGCTGCTGGGCTGCTCTTAGGGTGCCCTCTGCTGGCCACACATGGAAGCAGGTGTAAAAGTCTTAAAACATATCTTTCTTTAGGAATTTTAAGAATAAAAATTAAAGATAAAAAAAATTGGAAGAAAGAAAGAATTAGTTTGTGTTTGTTTTGCTTAGCATCTTTGGTCTCTGGGATTCAAAAAGTATGTTGATGCAACAGAAGGTAGTTAAGAAAAGTTTGGATGGCTAGGTGCAGTGGCTCCAGCCTGTAATCCCAGCGCTTTGGGAGGCCGAGGCAGGTAGATCACCTGAGGCCAGGAGTTCAAGACCAATCTGGCCAACTGGTGAAACCCAGTCACTACTAAAAATAACACAAAAAAACAAAAAAACACAAAAAAAGCCAGGCCTGGTGGCATACACCTATGATCCCAGCTACTTGGGAGGCTGAGACATGAGAATCACTTGAACCTGGGAGTTCAAGATTGCAGTGAGCCGAGATCATGCCACTGCACTCCAGCCTGGGAGACAGAGCAAGACCTTGTCTCAAAAAAAAAAGTTTGGGAGCTCCTAGGTTACACTCCAGAAGCCTTTTAATTATTTTATCTTACCAATTGATTTGTGCTTGTAGACACAGAATCTTGCCATGTTGCCATGCCCAGCCCTCCAGAAGCCTCTTAAAAGCACATTGAAGGCTGCGCACAGTGGCTCACGCCTGTAATCCCCACACTTTAGGAGGCCAAGGTGGGAGGATCACTTGAGCTTGGGAGTTCAAGACCAGCCTGGGCAACAGGGCACGACTCTGTCTCTACAAAAACTATTTAAAATTTGGCAGGCTAATTTTTTAGTAGTGGTCCCAGCTCCTCGGGAGGCTAAGGTGGGAGCATCGCTTGAGCCTGGAAGGTGGAGATTGCAGTGAGCCGAGATCATGCAACTGCGCTACAGCCTGGGAGACAAAGTGAGACCGTGTCTCAAAAATAATAATAATAAAATAAATTTAAAAGCATATTGAAACAGTAAAGAACTCCTACAACTCAACAACAATAAAACAAACAACTTGATTAAGAAATGGGCAATGGACTTGAATAGACATTTATTTAAGAAGATAAACAAATGGCCAACAAGTACATGAAAAAATGCTCAACACCACTAATCGATTAATTAAGGAAATACGAATCAAAACCAAAACACAGCCACAGTAGCCTATAGTCCCAGCTACTCCAGAGGCTGAGGTAGGAGGATAACTTGTGCCCAAGCACTGCAGACCACCCTAGGCAACATAGTGAGACCCCACCTCTAAAAACAAAATAAAATAAAAATAAATTTTTTTAAACATCCATTATGATGGCTACTAGTAAAAATGAAACAGGAAATAACAAATGTTATTGAGGTTGTGGAGAAATTGGAACCCTTGATGGCAGGAATGTAAAATGGTGCAGCCACTACAGAAAACAGCATAGCAATTCCTCAAAAAATTAAAAATAGAATGACCACAGAATCCAGCTATTCCACTTCCAGGCATGTATCTAAAAAAGCTGAAAGCAGAGTCTTGAAGACGTATTTGTACACCCATATTAATAGCAGCATTATGCACAATAGCCAAACGGTTGAAGCAAGCCAAGTGCCCATCAGCAGATGACTGGATAACAGATGCAGCAAACCCACAACACACATTCCCATGTAAGGAAGGACACGCTGCTACAACACAGACGAACGTTGGCGATACGATGCTTAGTGAATAAACCTGTCACAAAAACACCACTACTATATGATTCTACTTATATAAGGGATCTTGAATAGTCAAACTCACAAAGAGAGCAGAACGGGGGTTGCCAGGGGCCGGGGGGATGGGGAAATGGGGAGTTCTTGTTTCATGGGTACAGAGTTTCAGTTTTGCAAGATGAAAAAGCTCTGGAGGTAGGTTGTACAATCAGTATGCTTACTCCTGCTGGACTGTATACACTTAAAAATGGTTAGGATGGTAAATTCTGTCGTATACTTTACCACAATTTTTTTAAAAAATTTTTTGAGACAAGGTCTCACCCTGTCACTGAGGCTGGAGTGCAGTGGCGTAATCACAGCTCACAGCAGCCTCAACCTCCCAGGCTCAAGCAATCCTCCCACCTCAGCCTCCCCCATAGCTGGGATCAGAGGTGCGCGCCACCACGCCTGGCTAATTTTGTTTTGAAGAGATGGTGTTTCACCATGTTGCCTGGGCTGGTCTCAGACTCCCAGGCCTAAGCGATTTTCCCACCTCAGCCTCCCAAAGTGCTGGGATTACAGGCGTGAGCCACCGCACCCGGCCACACAAAAATCCACACAGTGATCCCTTCCTGTGCTGGCCTGCTCCAGATCTGGCGCAGCTTCTCAAAACTCAGAAAGTTGCCACTCGCAAGGATTGAGAGATCTAGTTGAATTTTACAGATTAAAATACTAGAGGCCACGACAGGCAAAGTGACAGGAAAGGTCTCCAAGTTTAGTAGTAGAGACAAGATTAGTCTGGCTCCTGACTCCCAGACTGGGGCTCTACCCTGCACTCCCAATTCCAGTGGGGACACCCATTTCCACACAGGGCGGGAAAAGGCACCCTATCCATTCGGGCTTCCTTCCCGTACACCAGGGGTTGGAGGTAGGTGAGCATGTGAGGAAATGCACCTTTGGTAAAAGCTCCTGAACAAACCTGGAGGGAGATGAGAAGAAACAAACAGGTCAGTGCTTAAATGCTAACAGGACTGGCCGGGCGCAGTGGCTCACGCCTGTGATCCCAGCACTTTAGGAGGCCAAGGTGGGCAGATCACCTGAGGTCAGGAGTTCAAGACTAGCCTGGCCAACATGACGGCCAAACCTCGTCTCTACTAAAAGTACAAAAATCAGCAGGACGTGGTGGCAGATGCCTGTAATCCCAGCTACTCGGGAGGCTGAAGCAAGAGAATCACCTGAACCCAGGTGGCAGAGGCTGCAGTGAGTCGAGATTACGCCACTGCACTCCAGCCTGGGGGATAGAATGAGATTCTGTCTCAAAAAAAACAAAAAACAAAACAAAAAAAAACAGGATAAAGCCTGAGTATTTTTTTCCCTATTGAGTTATTTTGTAGCTTTCCCCAACCTCCAGTCATAAAGGAGTTTGGAATTGTCCCTTCAAGGTGACACATTCTGCTACATTGTGAATGACGGACACCGTTTTCTGCCTCCAATAATACCACATGATGAGGCATACATAGAAATGATTTTTTATTTACTTTGATGATTAGGAAAAGATAGCAACATAGCTTTCATCAAAGCTAACAAATTACTGGCAGTGAACTAATTTTATTAGAATAAAGACATGTCTGTCTAAACTGAAACCACCAGCCCTTTGCTTTGGCTGGGACCTTGCGAATCACGGCCAAGGTGTTGATCAGAAAACAGTCACCATCACATCAACCTCCTGCCAGCACATGGCACAGAGATGCCACGAAGGCCCCGCAGGTCCCTCGAAGAGCAGCTGGGGCTCCACCTACCGAGTCCCAGTGGCTTATTTTGAAAAGATTTGCTTTCCACCGGTAAGGCGTGGCCCAAGTACATTTCTCGGGACTGCCATTGGCTCATCGTGCATGCGTATGAGGTAGTTCTCTTTGCATTTTGCAGATGCTCTTGCTTGCCCAGGGGGTGGATGTCACGAATCTGAAACCTCTGGCTTCACATTCCCACTGGGAATGCCCCCAGCCCCCAGTCACAAGTCAGTCTCCAATCCTGCCACAGACTCTAGCTCTTCAAATCCAAACGGATGTTTTCTTCATCCACAGGTTTCGGTTTTAACTGGCTGCTCAGTGTTAAAAAGGAGTATCTCAAGCCCCCTGCCATGCTGAAAGGAGAAAAAAAAAGTGAAAATAAATGACGGGGAATTTCCCAGGGGCTCCAGCAGCCGTTGCTGGCGTTTCTATCAATACAGCCTGCTTCATGCGGAGGGAATTATTCCAATATCTGTGTTTCTCCTCAAGTTTGTGGATTGCTTGATGAGAATGTCCCCTCTTATTTACAAGCCTTTGGAGGCAGAAAAAGAGTCATCAAATCTAAGGCAGAACCTCAGAGAGAAAATAAGCACTTGGTTTTTACTGAATAAACTACATACCCTTAGCCTTAAATAGTATCCCACTGCTGAGACCCCAAATGCCTTTCAAAGCTGGGTTAGTCCACACCCCCTGCTTGCCGAGCCTAGTGGTCACAAAGGTAACACCCTCCACTTCACAGGAGGGCAGAGAACGCAGGGGCCTTCTGTGAGGAAGACAGGTGAGTTAAATTCCGATCCCAGCCCCGCAAACTGTCATCACACATGTCCCCATGGATCTGCATGAGGATGAACCCAGGGATGAAGTAAAATTATCGTAGAAATCAGAATGTCAAAACGCCTCCTGGCTTAACATGAAAGACTTCTCTAGGCTCTTTTGCTTATTACATATTAATCGAACTGTTCAAGGTTCTTGTTTTCCCAAAGCGAGTCCATTAAAAATTCCCACTCACCAAATATTTAATCCTACAAAGTTTAACAAAGAGAAAATGTAGTCTCCACCGATTAACATCCCAATGTAGGCAACGGATACATTCTGCAGAAAAAGAGGATTCGTCATTTTAAAAGTAAAATGTTTAGGGGAAAATATAAATAGTAAAACCTGAAACTAGACATTTTAGTTTCTTTGCAAAGAGACTTGTACACAGGGATATTCACAGGGGGCTGAAAAAAATAAAAAACCATTACAGGCCAGGAATGATGGTTCACGCCTGTAATCCCAATACTCCGGGAGGCCAAAGTCAAAGGATCACTTGAGCCCAGGAGTTTAAGACCAGTGGGGGCAACATAGTGAGATCCCATCTCTACCAAAAATTTTTTGAAAGTAGCCGGACATGGTGGCACATGCCTGTAATCCCACAGGGACTGAAGTGGGAGGACTGCTTGAGCCCAGGAAGTCAAGGCTGCACTGAGCTACATGCCACTGTACTCCAGCCTGGGCAACAGAGCAAGACCCTGCCTCAGAAAAATAAATAAGCCATTACATATGGGGCTTACTAAATGAATGCAGTAAATTATGGTCTGATAACAACAGAAAATTGCGTTATTCTCTCCCCTGTTCCAGTTGGCATGCAGGCAAAAGAGGAAGAGTGGGGCTCTCATCAGCTTGCCAGATCCTAACTCTTTACTATCATTGGGTAGTGAAGTTTTCCAGGGTTTTTTTCTTTTTTTCTTTTTTTTTTTTTTTAGACAGAGTCTCGCTGTGTTGCCCAGGCTGGAGTGCAGTGGCACAATCTCGGTTCACTGCAATCTTTGCCTCCCAGGTTCAAGAGATTCTCCAGTCCAGCCTCCCAAGTAGCTGGGACTACAGGGCACTCACCACCACACCTGGCTCATTTTTGTATTTTTAGTAGAGATGGGGTTTTGACATATTGGCCAGGCTGGTCTCTAATTCCTGACCTCAGGTGATCTGCCTGCCTCGGCCTCTTGAAGTCCTGGGATTACAGGCATGAGCCACTGTGCCTGGCCTGTTTTTCTTTCTTTTTTTTTTTTTTTTTTCAACCCTGGGCACTGCAGATTGTGCACTGGACACTACACTGCAATCTGTGGGCACACCAGGGCCAAGTAGTGAGTTAATTGTCTTGATCGTAAATTTGAGTAGAGCGGAGACAGTCAATAAATTCCAGGCCATGCTCTGCCCAGTGCATTCTAGGAGACCTCTGGGCAGCCAAAGGACAGGTGAATTCTTGAAGCAGGCAGTGTTTTCAAACACTCTAGGACTTCATGCGAATAGAAAAACGACGCAATTACGGAATAGAATCTAGAACACCTCTCCCGCTATTCATTCACGTGCGTGTGTTTATTCAGATGCATCCACACACACACCCACGCACCAGCCCACAAGCTCACCGACCTCACCACACACCAGCCCACAAGCTCACCGACCTCACCACACAACACGCACCTCCACAGCTCACCGACCTCACCACACAGCACGCACCTCCACAAGGGCTCCACTTCTCAGTGGGCAGGTTCTCCCAGAAAACCAAATTATGGATCACAAGGTGTCTTACTCATCATTGATACCTGGGTTTTGTTTTGTTTTGTTTTAGCTTTTTACTTCATTTTCCCAGACCCACCCCTCCAAGCCACCCCCAACTTAAAAGTTGTAATTTGTCTCTCCTTTATAAATTAGCAATCTGTCCCTCTATTCCATGTAGTAGATTAGAAGAAGTAAGATGGGGCCGGGCTCAGTGGCTCACACCTGTAATCCCAGCACTTTGGGAGGCTGAGATGGGTGGATCACGAGGTCAGGAGTTCAAGACCAGCCTGGCCAACAAGGTGAAACCCAGTCTCCACCAAAAATATAAAAAATTAGCCAGCTGTGATGGTGGGTGCCTGTAATCCCAGCTACTCGGGAGGCTGAGGCAGGAGAACTGCTTGAACCTGGGAGGTGGGTGCAGTGAGCCAAGATTGCACCACTGCACTCCAGCCTGGATGACAGAACGAGACTCTGTCTCAAAAAAGAAAAAGAAGTAAGATGGGATCACACAGGCCCAGCTGAAAAGGTCACAGCCCTCATTCTTACACCACCACCACCACAACCAACAAAATCTAATCCGGCCTCCAGCGGAAACTCTGGGTTCACAGTCCATTCCTTAACTCAGTTGTTCCTTCCAAGGCTCCATCCACTCACCTTGATGGCTCCAACCACTGCTGTCGTCAAGGCTGAATTGTAATAGCTACACAGAACCGTGGAGTACATCAGCAGAAACCTGCGACAAGGAAGCAGACACAGAGTGTGCGTCTCACTACGCTGGGGAATAATAAATAGGTTAAGGCCAGCAGTGGCCCCCACACAAGCACTTTAAGGCAAAGAAAAAAGAAACACATATCACAAAGGTTTTGTAACCCACACCTTAAGATATCTTGCTATTGGTCTTGTGACAGGAAAATGGTCCAGCTGTGAATTAGCTAAACCTTCTACTTAAGGTATCCTTCTCATTTTCTCTGTACATTTCCCCTGAATGTTTCCACAACCTGGGAGTAAGGAGAACAAGGTTTAATGACCTGAAATCTCTCATTTATCAGCATGTTAAATGAAGTTAAGACTTTGAGTTTTGTTTTTGTTTTTTTTTTTTTTTTTTTTGAGACGGAGTCTCGCTCTGTCGCCCAGGCTGGAGTGCAGTGGCGCGATCTGAGCTCACTGCAAGCTCCGCCTCCTGGGTTCGTGCCATTCTCCTGCCTCAGCCTCCCGAGTAGCTGGGACTACAGGCGCCCGCCACCACACCCGGCTAATTTTTTTGTATTTTTAGTAGAGACGGGGTTTCACCGGGTTAGCCAGGATGGTCTGGATCTCCTAACCTCAGGTGATCCACCCGCCTTGGCCTCCCAAAGTGCTGGGATTACAGGTGTGAGCCACCACGCCCGGCCGACTTTGAGTTTTTAATCCTCTGTGCATCAGAATCACCTGTTGCACCTTTTTTTGTTTGTTTGTTTTGGTAGGGACGGAGTCTCACTCTGTCGACCAGGCTGGAGTGCAGTGGCGCAATCTCGGCTCACTGCAACCTCCACCCCTAGGTTCCAGCAATTCTCCTGCCTCAGCCTTCCGAGGAACTGGGCCTACAGGCTCATGCTGCCATGCCCAGCTAATTTTTTTTTGTATTTTAGTAGAGACGGGGTTTCACTGTGTTGCCCAGGCTGGTCTTGAACTCCTGAGCTCAGGCAATCCGCCCGCCTTGGCCTCCCAAAATGCTAGGATTACAGGCGTGAGCCACCATGCCCAGTCTGCCTGCTGCACTTCCAACACACAATGAACGATGCCTGGCAGAGGTTCTGCTTCACATGGTTTGAGGTGGGGCCCTGACCACGCACGAGATGAAAGATCCTCAGGTGATTCTGACCTGCAGCCAGAGAGGAGGACCCTGGTGTCGGAAGAGAAAATCAGCTGAGCGATTGCTGCCTTCAGACAGAGGAGATTGAAACAGATGCCACGTGTGGATAAGGCTACTGTACCTGTTACCAAAGTTAACTCAGGCACTTAACATGACCGTAGGTATTGATACTTACTTGCCAATAAAATGATACAGCCTTGTGAACGAGCACGCAACAAGAAAACACATACACAGGTAAAGAATGCCAAATCCGGCCGGGCGCGGTGGCTCACGCCTGTAATCCCAGCACTTTGGGAGGCCAAGGCGGGCGGATCACGAGGTCAGGAGATCGAGACCATCCTGGCTAACACGGTGAAACCCCGTCTCTACTAAAAATACAAAAAATTAGCCGGGCGAGGTGGCGGCGCCTGTAGTCCCAGCTACTCAGGAGGCTGAGGCAGGAGAATGGCGTGAACCCGGGAGGCGGAGCTTGCAGTGAGCTGAGATCCGGCCAGTGCTCTCCAGCCTGGGCGACAAAGTGAGACTCCGTCTCAAGAACATACCATGCTCATGGATAGGAAGAATCAATATCATGAAAATGGCCATACTGCCCAAGGTAATTTATAGATTCAATGCCATCCCCATCAAGCTACCAATGAGTTTCTTCACAGAATTGGAAAAAACTGCTTTAAAGTTCATATGGAACCAAAAAAGAGCCCGCATCTCCAAGACAATCCTAAGTCAAAAGAACAAAGCTGGAGGCATCACGCTACCTGACTTCAAACTATACTACAAGGCTACAGTAACCAAAACAGCATGGTACTGGTACCAAAACAGAGATATAGACCAATGGAACAGAACAGAGTCCTCAGAAATAATACCACACATCTACAGCCATTTGATCTTTGACAAACCTGAGAGAAACAAGAAATGGGGAAAGGATTCCCTATTTAATAAATGGTGCTGGGAAAATTGGCTAGCCATAAGTAGAAAGCTGAAACTGGATCCTTTCCTTACTCCTTATACAAAAATTAATTCAAGATGGATTAGAGACTTAAATGTTAGACCTAATACCATAAAAATCCTAGAGGAAAACCTAGGTAGTACCATTCAGGACATAGGCATGGGCAAAGACTTCATGTCTAAAACACCAAAAGCAACGGCAGCAAAAGCCAAAATTGACAAATGGGATCTCATTAAACTAAAGAGCTTCTGCACAGCAAAAGAAACTACCATCAGAGTGAACAGGCAACCTACAGAATGGGAGAAAATTTTTGCAATCTACTCATCTGACAAAGGGCTAATATCCAGAACCTACAAAGAACTCAAACAAATTTACAAGAAAAAAACAAACAACCCCATCAAAAAGTGGGCAAAGGATATGAACAGACATTTCTCAAAGAAGACATTCATACAGCCAACAGACACATGAAAAAATGCTCATCATCACTGGCCATCAGAGAAATGCAAATCAAAACCACAATGAGATACCATCTCACACCAGTTAGAATGGCATCATTAAAAAGTCAGGAAACAACAGGTGCTGGAGAGGATGTGGAGAAATAGGAACACTTTTACACTGTTGGTGGGATTGTAAACTAGTTCAACCATTATGGAAAACAGTATGACTATTCCTCAAGGATCTAGAACTAGATGTACCATATGACCCAGCCATCCCATTACTGGGTATATACCCAAAGGATTATAAATTATGCTGCTATAAAGACACATGCACACGTATGTTTATTGCAGCACTATTCACAATAGCAAAGACTTGGAATCAACCCAAATGTCCATCAGTGACAGATTGGATTAAGAAAATGTGGCACATATACACCATGGAATACTATGCAGCCATAAAAAAGGAGGAGTTTGAGTCCTTTGTAGGGACTTGGATGCAGCTGGAATCCATCATTTTTAGCAAACTATCACAAGAACAGAAAACCAAACACCGCATGTTCTCACTCATAGGTGGGAACTGAACAATGAGATCACTCGGACTCAGGAAGGGGAACATCACACACCGGGGCCTATCATGGGGAGGGGGGAGGGGGGGGGGATTGCATTGGGAGTTATACCTGATGTAAATGACGAGTTGATGGGTGCAGCACAGCAACATGGCACAAGTATACATATGTAACAAACCTGCACGTTATGCACATGTACCCTACAACTTAAAGTATAATAATAATAAATAAATTTAAAAAAACAAAACAAAACAAAACCAAAAAAAAGAATGCCCAATCCAGTCAGGTAAAGAAGTGAGCTAATTCCAGTCAAGCCGTGATGGAAATTAGCTGCAACCTCACCTAAGCTGCAACTCAGATCAGATGATGAAATGTTGAAAGGGAATACAAACCTACTGAGAAAGAAACACGGAAGGTACAGGGAGAGCACAAGGTGGGTGAAATGTGAAAAGCTAAATCCCAGGTCAGACTGGACACGGTCGCTCATGCCCATAATCCCAGCACTTTAGGAGGCAGAGGTGGGTGAATCGCCTGAGGTCAGGAGTTCCAGACCAGCCTGGCCAACATGGTGAAACCCTCTCTCTACTAAAAATACGAAAATTAGCCGGGCGTGGCGGCACATGCCTGTAGTCCCAGCTACTCGGGAGGATGAGGCAGCAGAATTGCTTGAACCCGGGAGGCGGAGCTGAGATCATACCACTGCACTCCAGCCTGGGTGACAGGGCGAGACTCCGTCTCAATTAATTAATTAATTAATCAGTCCCAGGTTGAAGGCAGGAGCTTGGATTCCCCATTGACAGAAGCGAACTCAACTCTAGCAAAGGGCTCAGTGCACCTGCACTTGGGTAAGCACAGAATTGACTGAATTCTAGAATCCTGCTAGAATTTAACACTCGGTCTTGGTGCTAGGCTAAATCTCTGGTGGAGATCACGGTCACAGACCTTCAACATGATAACCTCTGTTGGCCTGAGTGTGTTTATTACTAAAGGTGGTAGAGGGAAAAAATCAGAATATCAAGCTTTACAAGTTGAAGAATAAACTTAATTTCAAACTTAAATTTTGTAATCTTTGGAATACTGTGTGCATTGTAATTAAAACAATTTGAAAAGTTAAAGAAACTCTTGGTTCTAATTTGAAATATATAATTGATGTTAGACTTGCAATTTTAATTTGAAAGAAGAGTGTTGAAGTCTCATCAGAATTTGAATTTTTTTTTTTTTTTTTTGAGACGGAGTCTCACTCTGTGGCCAGCCTGGAGTGCAGTGGCGTGATCTCGGCTCACTGCAACCTCTGCCTCCCAGGTTCAAGCAATTCTCCTGCCTCAGCCTCCCAAGTAGCTGGGACTACAGGCGAGCGCCACCACACCCAGCTAATTTTTGTACTTTTAGTAGAGACGGGGTTTCACCATGTTGGCCAGAATGGTCTCGCTCTCTTGACCTCGTGATCTGCCCGCCTCGGCCCCTCAAAGTGCTGGGATTACAGACATGAGCCACTGCAACCGGCCTGAATGTTTTTTAAGAAGCTGATTTACCCCATTTCTAAATTTGGTTTATTAGATTTCAAACAGTTGCTTAAGTACAAAAAGCAATCTACTAGCTTTGTTAATTGGCCTCAGGGGCTGGAATTGCTGAAGAAAAAGTAGGCAGCTCCCATTTGTAAAAGCAGTTGAAAATGCTTAAATTATTTTAATTCACTAAGCTGTAAATGGAACTGATTTACAGTACATTGTTTAGGGGATTTTAATCAGTTAAACTTGAGTTAATAAACCATTTATCAAATAATGAAAGTAAATGTTCTTTTATAGAAAAATTGTTAGCCTTATAAATAAGGCAATAATATTTGTAAGTTGAACTTTAAGGCTTAAGAAAAAAAATCTAAGTTTCGGCCGGGCATGGTGGCTCACGCCCGTAATCCCAGCACTTTGGGAGGCCAAG